CCTGGCATGGGGTGTGGGTATGAGTGTTCAGGCTAAAAGTGAGCAGGCAAATAAGGACTTTTGCTTCTACCTGGTGTTACTCATTGCCTCTGCTTTTGGACATAGAAATGGGCTGGTTGGAGCATGGCGTGTGCACAGACTCATTTTGTGTCTGTGGCTCGTCAAACCCTTGTCTGTCTCTCTCTCTGCCTGGTGTCCTTCTAGATCCCATTCTGGTACAGCAGTTGCGGAGGACGTACAAATACTTTAAAGATTATAGACAGGTAAGCTGGGGCCTGGGCCAGCGCCCTCCTCACCGCGCCCCCCCACCTCAGTACCAGTATCTCTCATCTGAGCACCCTGCCCTGCCCTGTCCTATCCTACAGATGATCATTGAACCCACCAGCCCCTGCCTTCTCCCAGACCCTCTGCGAGAGCCGTACTACCAACCACCCTACACACTCGTCCTGGAGCTCACGGGAGTCCTCTTACACCCCGAGTGGTCGGTGTGTCCTAGCAGGGGAGCTGGGGATGGGGGTTGGGGAAAGGGCAGCAGGTTGCTCAGGGCGTGGCTGCTGGGTCCCCTCAGCACCCACTCTGTAGGGTGGTTGTGGGGTGTATTGGGCACAGAGTCGGCTCATCATTGCCCACTCTTGTTCCAGGCCCTCAGGCACAGCCTGTGTGCTCCTGGGCCCCCTAGAGCAGAGACACCTGGTTCTGGGCGCCCTCGGGCTGGGTGATAAGCATCTTGGGGGCCTCCTGCCAGTGTGTCTCACTGTCTTCCTGTGTCCACAGCTAGCCACTGGCTGGAGGTTTAAGAAGCGCCCCGGCATTGAGACCCTGTTCCAGCAGCTCGCCCCACTCTATGAGATTGTCATCTTCACGTCCGAGACTGGCATGGTAAGGTTTGGGGTGCAGGAGGCTCTGTCAGTGTGGAAGGAGTGGGTGAGATCCAAGGGCTGGGGTGTAGCCTGTCCCTCCCTGTCCCCCCAGACGGCCTTCCCACTCATTGATAGCGTGGATCCCCACGGCTTCATCTCCTACCGCCTCTTCCGAGATGCCACAAGATACATGGATGGACACCATGTCAAGGTGCTGTGCAGGATGGATTTGTGGGGACCATGGGGCCTTCACCTGTCTTCTCCAGAATCTAGGGACATAGGGAGAAATGGGGGCTCCTTAGGAAAGACGGCTGGGTGAAGGTCTGTGTCAGGGCTTGGCCTGCCCAAGCCTGGCCCCGACTTTCTTGGTGTGCAGGGGTTGGGGGGGGGCAGTCTGTGTCTTGTTGGGTCTGGGGTCTGCATTGTTGAGGGCTCAGCAGGACCTGCCCTTCCCTAAGGCCCTTGTGTCTCATTGGGTCGCTCTCGCATGTTGCTGTGGATCTCAAAGTAAGAGATTTTAGTCACTTGGAGTGCAGGTTGAACCTGACAATAGTCACACTGTTCCTGGAGAAGCTAGGGGTTCCCCCTGTGAGGGCCCCAGCTTTAGGCATCTGTGTGACCAGCCATCAGGGGAATGGCAGTGGTCACTCGTGCCAAGCTTACAGAGAACCCACCATAGTGACCAGTGGGCATGGTACTGCCTGTCTGTCTGTCTGTCTGCCTCTGTGTGTTCCGGCACAGACAGAGACCTGATTTGTCCCCCATATGCAGGACATTTCCTGTCTGAATCGGGACCCAGCCCGTGTGGTGGTGGTGGACTGCAAGAAGGAGGCCTTCCGACTCCAGCCCTACAACGGCGTTGCCCTGCGGCCCTGGGACGGCAACTCGGACGACCGGGTCTTGTTGGACCTGTCAGCCTTCCTCAAGAGTAAGGCTCACCCCGGCCTCTCGCCTCTCCCGAGCCCCCAGGCCCTCGGGACAGCAGCCCTCCTTCCTGTGGAGAGGAAGTCCATGAGTCTTCTGGAATCTTCCAGGGCTTATCTGGAATGTCTGGGCACTCCTCTGAAGTGTTTAGGAGCTACCCTGGAACTATTGGGGAGTGGGGACTTTCAAGCATTGAGAAGCACCCAGGAAAGGGCAGACCTTGGCCTGTAGCCTGTCGCCCTGGGCCTTGGGCCCAGCTCACCATCCCATTACACCCGCAGCAATTGCCCTGAACCAAGTGGAGGATGTGCGGACCGTGCTGGAGCACTACGCCCTGGAGGACGACCCGCTGGAGGCCTTCAAGCAGCGGCAGAGCCGCCTTGAGCAGGTCAGCCCTGGGGCCAGCAGCAGCTGTGTGCGAGGCCCTGAGTGGATCCTCTTCTGGGGCCCCCAATCAGTACCTGGGGGTAGTATGTTCTGTAGCTCCCAACAAGAGCAGGAATCAGGTGGGCACCAGTGGATCACGCCTGTAATCCTAGCTACTCAGGAGGCTCAGATCTGAAGATCTAGATTCAAAGCCAGCCCAGGCACAAAAGTCCGGGAGACTCTTATCTCCAATAAGTGGAGTGGCGCTGTGGCTTAAGTGGTAAAGTGCTAGCCTTGAGCTGAAGGGCTGAGGGTCATTGCCCAGGCCCAGAGTTCAAGCCCCAAGACTGACCAAAAAAGTGTAGGCCTGAAAAGCTACTGAAACTCTGCAATTTGAGTCTGGTTAATTTCCTCCCCTCTCATCCTCACCCTCATCCCCCCCCCCCCCCCCCCCCAACACCTGAGCCCAGGCTCCTGGGACTCTGAGCTAGCTTTATTTATTTTTTTGTCAGTTGTGGGGCTTGAACTCGGGGCCTGGGAGCTGTCCCTGAGCACTTTAACTCAAAGCTAGCATTCTACCACTTTGAACCACCACTCGACTTCCAGTTTTCTGGTGGTTCACTGGAGATAAGAATCTCACACACTTTCCTGCTCAGGCTGGCTTTGAACTGGGATCCTCAGATCTCAGCCTCTGAGTAGCTAGGATGACAGGTGTGAGCCACCAGCGCCCAAATGAGCTAGCTCTTGCTGACGACCAGATTGAAGTTGTGAGGTCTGGGGCCTTCTGTACAAGGCTGCTGCCTTGTTTGAGGAGAAGGAAAAGTACAAAGAAGGCTGCCCCCAGCCCCTACCCTGGGGCTGACCCTCCTCTTTTTCCCCAACCCCAGGAGGAACAGCAGCGCCTGGCCGAGCTCTCTAAGTCCACCAAACAGAACCTCTTCTTCGGCTCTCTAACCAGCCGCTTGTGGCCTCGCTCCAAGCAGCCCTGATCCTTGGGCCTCCTCAGACTCACAGCCTGGTCCCCAGGCATCAGTGCGCCCAGATCAGCCACATGTACAATAAAGTGCATCCCAGATGCCACACCCCTGTGTCCACAGAGTGTCCAGATGGGGCGCCGGCCGGGTCAACATCTGGAAGGCACAGAATTTGGTGGAGCAGGGCTGGTTTTGAATCTGGCAATCTGGGCCTCTGCTCAGCTGTATCTTCCCTGATGGCTGTGTGATTCGCAAGAAGTGTGTGCCCCTCTCTGGCTGGGGCTTCCTTGTACGTGAACAGCTGAGGACCAGGCTGTAAGATGGGTAGTTGCCCTGGAAATAAAATGATGCCTGCACTCAGGGCTCCTGGGAGCTCCAGCTATATTTTTTCTTCTTCTGGAAATCTGATCTCTCTGTGTTGTCCAGAAATCCTGCCCCAGCCTTCTAAATATCCTGGACTACAAAAGTGCATCACTGCACCCAACTAGAAACTGGAATTCTGGATTTTTTTCCCCTTAGTTTGTGTCTGTATGGGTCTGGGTCTGGGTCTGGGTGTGTCTGTGCTGGCACTGGGGCTTGATCTCAGGGCCTGGGTGCCATTCCTTGGCTTTTTGCTCAAGGCTGGCACTCTACCACTTCAGCCACAGTTCCGCAGGTGTGGAAGAGGGACTAAGAAATGAATGTGGAAGAGTCTGGGCATTTCCACACACAGTGTCCTCACACACTCCAATATCCTCAAGATTAAGAGAAAATTCTAGACTGGCTTTCTCCTATTTAAACAATTACTGTGCCCACAAGACACAAGCGCATACAAATGCCACCAGCCCCCTAAACTTAACCAGATCTAAGCACTGAAACGTTTCCTTCCGGGCGCTTTTCCCTGGCACAGACCCATTCGGCAGAGCTTGGAACATCTGCTCCTAGCCGGCTTTATTTGCCCAGTGGTCCTGATACACTAAAGGGGTTTCGTGAGGGGTGGGGGGAGTTCCCCCATTGGTGGGGGGCGGGGAGGCGGTGGCTGCGGGAGCTTCCTGCACATTTGCTCCTCACACCTTCCTGAGGCCAAACGGCCGCCCCAGCTGCGGCCCAGGGGGCGGGGCGCGGCAGCGGCACAGATGGCGCCATTTACATACAGCTGGGACCCCGATCCTGCCCGGGCCTCGGCACCCCGGCGTCTGGGGGTGGGGGTGGGGGTCACCCAGGGACCACAAAGAGCCCCAGATCTTCATCGAATTCACCCTCGGACCTCCTGATCTCAGTCCCCAAACCCCTTCCCAGCCGGTACGCAATCCCATTCCTCGGTAGTTCGGTACTGGACCCGCAGGCAGCCCACGGGGGGGGGGGGGGGGGGGGGCCGGGGCGGGCGGGGAAACACGGACACCAAGCAAAGAATACCAAGTCACAGGTTCCTGGGATGGTGCACGGGGTGGAGGGAGGGGTCCGGGATCTCAACAGAGCGTGCACACGCCGTGTCACGGACAACCCAGAAAGTGGCCCACCGCCCCACGCCCCGCTCTGCGCAGCGCGCGCTCCCGGCCCGGGCGCGCGCACGGGCGCGCGCGCGGCATCTTCTAACCACGTGCAAAAGCCACACACATGCACACACTGCCTTCTCCCACCCTCGCCCCCGTCCCGGCCCCACGTGCACCCACAGGCGGGGGTCCGCTCACGCCGGCACAGGCAGAATCTTCTCCAAGTTGCGCTGGCAAAGTCCCTGCCGCCCCCCTCCCTCCCTCCCTGTTTCCCTCCCTCCTCCCCTCCCTCCCTCCCTTTGGTCCCCTGGAGCCTGGAGGGGCGTGGCCGGCCCCTCTGATATAAAGCTCCCAAGGCAGATGCTGCGATTTCCGAGGGAACCCCCCCCCAACCCCCAAAGGCCATGGTTCCCTGGTGGTTGTCTGCGCTCCTGTCCCAGTTGGTGATCCCGGCGCTCTTTTGCCTACCCCAGGTCAGAGCCGGGCTGGAGACGGAATGGGGAGGGATGGACATCTGGGGGAGGGGGGTCTGGGGTCTGGAGGTCTTGGGGAGGGGTGGCGAGGCCAGCAGCCGCCCGGTTGCCCCGGGTCCCCTCACCCCGTATCCCTCTCTCCCAGGCACAGCCGGCTGGTGTCTTCGAGCTGCAGATTCACTTTTTCGGACCCGGGCCAGGTCCAGGGGTCCCGCAGAACCCCTGCAGCGCCCTTGGTCCCTGCCGCCTCTTCTTCAGGGTGTGTGTGAAGCCGGGGGTGTTGGAGGACGCCGCCGCCGAGGCCCCGTGCGCCCTGGGCGCGGCGCTCAGCGCGCGCGGCCCCGGCTCCCCGGAGCAACCCGGAGCGCCCGCGGCCCATCTGCCGCTGCCCGACGGGGTCCTGCGGGTGCCCTTCCGGGGCGCCTGGCCGGTGAGCCTGACCCTGGACACTCCTGTCCTGTCCCTCCCCCACCCCGATTCCTTCCTGTCCTCCCCAGCTTCCAAAACCTAACCGGGCCCCGTGGGAGACGAATTCCTAGACCCTACCTAATGGAACCCATAATATTCTGTCCATAACTTCTTTGGGGATCACGGGGACCCCAAGTATCTAGAGTCCATTCTTCTTTTTCTGGAAACCCTAAATACACACAAGCCTGCCTTTGGTTCCTGGAAGATGAGTGAAAATTGGATAGTCGTTCAGAGATCCCTGATCTCTCCTCTTTTCCATCCTCAAGTTAATTCTTCCAAAAACTCATTTCTTTTTCTTTTTTTCTTTTCTCTTTCTTCTTTCCTCCTTCCATCCTTCCTTTCTTGCTTCCTTCCTTTCTTTTTTCTTCCTTTCTTCTTTCTCTTTTCTTTCTTTCTTTCCTTCTTTCCTTTCTTCCCCTCTCTCTTCTTTCCTTCCTTTCTTTTCCTTCTTTCTTCTCTCCTCTCCTCTTTCCTTCCTTCCTTCCTTCCTTTCCAGGGTCTCCTGTTTGCTAGGCGGGAGCTTAACCACTGCAGTCTCCAAGACCCAGTCCCAGAGTGATGTCCCAGCCCCTGGAGGCAGGTCCCTAGCTTGGCTTCCTCCTCCACCAGCCTAAAGTACAAACATGAACAGATCAGGATTTGAACTCTACCTCTCCTCCTTTGATATCCCCTCTTGTGCTCTTGTCCTTTGAATAACTTCCACCCTTTCCAGTCTTCATTTTCTCAGTGGTAAAGTGGAACTGTTCTTGTATCTCATGGTGAGGGGCGGTGAGAGGAAGGGACCTGGAATGAAGTACATATCACAAAGAAAGCCAGAGACAGCTAGCTGTAGTGATGCACACACACCTGTAGTCCCATCCACTTTAGAGGAGAAAGTAGGAGGATCACTCAGGCCTGGCCAGGCTATAGCACAAAACACTATCTGCAAGGGCTGGGAAGGTGGCTCAGTGGTAGAGCGCTTGCCTTGTGTGCATGAGGCCCTGGGTTCAATTCCTCAGTACCACATAAGCAGAAAAAAGCCGGAAGTGGCGCTGTGGCTCAAGTGGAAGAGCGGAGAGCTGAGGGACAGCATTCAGGCCCCACAACCGGACCCCCCCCCCATCTGCAAATAAAGAAATAAAACACAAGCTGGGCGCCAGTGGCTCATGCCTGTAATCCTAGCTACTCAGGAGACTGAGATCTGAGGATCACAGTTTAAAGCCAGCCTGGGCAGGAAAGTCTGTGAGACACATCTTCAATTAACTACCAGAAAAACCGGAAGTGGTGCTGTGGCTCAAATGGTAGAGCACTCACCTTGAGCTAAAGACTCAAGAACAGGGCCTAGGCCCACAGTTCAAGCCCAACGACTGACCAAAAAACCCACAAAGGACTGGAGGCATGTGATACAGTGCCACGCAGCATGCCCTGGGTTAAAATCCCAGTACTGAAGAAAGAGGGAAAAGAAGAACAAAACAAATAAAAACCACTAAAGCAAGGAAAAGAAAAGTAAGCCAAGGCAGACCTGCCCTTCCTGATCCAGTCCCTTTGATATTGTCCCTTGCTTGTTCCATCCTCGGGAAAAGGCCACCTCTCTGCTTGTACTCTGGCCTTCACTCAGTGCCTGTCCTGACTACTGTCTTACCTTCTTTCTTCTCCTTCTCTCTCCACACAATCAGGGCACCTTCTCCCTCATCATTGAAACCTGGAAAGAACAGCTGGGAGACCAGGCTGGAGGTGAGTGTCTGGTGGGGGTTCACAAAGCCCAGTGGGGTTGGGGGTCCAGGATAGTGACTTAAGGCTGTCTGCAGGGGGGGCATTCCCTGGACCCCGGAGCCAACGACACCATCACGGCCCTGGAGTGTGTGTGGATGTAGTCCCTGGTCTTGGTACAGGTTGGGGATGAAACCCAGAATCTCTTGCAGTTTTATAGACATATACATACATGCATATATATATAGAGAGAGAGAGAAAAAGAGAGTATGTATAGGGGGGCAGTTGGGGGCTTGAACTCAGGCTTTGTGCTGAGCTCTTTTGCTCAAGGCTAGCACTGTACCACTTTGAAGCTACAGTTCCACTTCTGGTTTTTGAGTGATTCATTGAAGATCAGAGCCTCATGGGACTTTTTCTGCCCTGTCTTGTTTCAAACTGTGATCCCCATATCTCAGCCTCCTGAGTAGCTAGGATTACAGGTGTGAGCCACCAGTGCCTGGCTCCTTTTTTTTTTTTTTTTGTGCCAGTCCTGGGGCTTGAACTCAGGGCACTGTCCCTAAGCTTCTTTTGTTCAAAGCTAGCACTCTACTACCAGCCACAGAGCCACTTCAGGCTTTTTCTGTTTATGTGGTACTGAGGAATTGAATGAATCCAGGCCTTCATGCATGCTAGGCAAGCACTCTTCCACTAAGCCACATTCCCAGTCCCTCAATTTTTTTCCTCTTTTTTTCTTTCTCTCTCTTTCTTTCTTTTTTTTTCTTTCTTTCCTTTCTTTCTTTCTCTCTTTCTCTCTCTCTCTTTCTCTCTCTCTCTCTCTCTCTCTCTCTCTCTCTCTCTCTGTCTTTCTTTCTTTCTTTCTTTCTTCTTTTTATTGTCAGTCGTGGGGCCTGAACTCTAGGCCTGGGAGCTGTCCCTCAGCTCTTCAGCTCAAGGTTAGTGCTCTACCACTTGAGCCATGGTGCCTCCCTCAATTTTTTTTCATTTGACATTTCTGGGGCTTGAACTCAGAGCCTGGGCACTGTCCCTTAGTTTTTTTCTTGGGTCCGGTCGTGGGGCCTGAACTCTGGGCCTAGGTGCTTTCCCGCAGCATTTCAGCTCAAGGCTAGCGCTCTACCACTTGAGCGACAGCGCCACTTCCAGCTTTTTTTTCTTTATGCTTATGTGGTGCTGAGGAATTGAACCCAGGGCCTCATGCATGCAAGGCAAGTGCTCTACCACTGAGCCACCTTCCCAGCCCTGTCCCTTAGTTTTTTATTCAAGGCTGGTGCTCTACCACTTGAACCACAGCTCTACTTTTTGGTGGTTCACTGGAGGTAAGAGTCCTCACAGACTTTCCTGGCTGGAGCTGGCTTTGAACCATGATCCTCAGATATCAGTCTCTTGAGTAGCCACTGTGTCAGTCCTGTGTTAGAAATCTTACCACCAATATTGGAAGATTCTGGGGGGGAAAAATCCGGGCACCGGTGGCTCATTATCCTGTAATCCTAGCTAGTCAGGAGGCTGAGATCTGAGGATCAGTGTTCAAAGCCAGCCCCGGTAGGAAAGTCTCTGAGACTCTTATCTCCAATAAACCACCAGAAAACCAGAAGTGGTGCTGTAGCTCAAGTGGTAGAGCGCTAGCCTTGAGCTGAAGAGCTGAGGGACAGCGCCCAGGCCTAGAGTTCAGGCCCCATGACCGATCAAAAAACAATTTTTTTTTCATGAGAATACCTGTTTCCATGGTAACGGCCTATGAAACTATAGGAACTCGACCTGCAAGGTCCCAGGGTCTCTGGCTAAGGGAGGTAAACTGAGGTTCTCACCCTTTGAGATCAGAGGAGAACCCCTCCCCAACCCTGGCCTGGCATTGTCCCCGCAGGGCCCGCCTGGAGCCTGCTGACGCGCGTGGCGGGCCGCCGGCGTCTGGCTGCGGGGGCTCCGTGGGCCCGCGATGTGCAACGCGCCGGTGCCTGGGAGCTGCGCTTCTCCTACCGCGCGCGCTGCGAGCCGCCGGCCGCGGGCGCCGCGTGCACGCGCCTGTGCCGCTCGCGCGGCGCCCCCTCGCGGTGCGGCCCGGGACTGCGGCCCTGCGCGCCCTTCGAAGACCACTGCCAGGACCCGCGTGAGTCTTCCGCTGCCCCATTCCTCTTGCCTTCGCATCGGTCCTGTTCTCCCATTCCCCTCCTGCGGCCAGGTTATCCCCCTTCAGGGAACTGGGGAGCTCTAGGCCCCTTCTCTAGCTCCAATCATGGTCCTCAGTACCCCCTACCATCATCCAACCAAACACCTTCAGGGAAACTGAGGACCCTAGACTTCTCCAGTCCTGCTTGGGACATCCAGCCCTTCTTTCCTCTTCTGGCGCTCTTGTAGTTCCAAGTAGGAAGTCTACACTTGTTTCCTGTTGTGGGGTCCCCATCCATCTCACACTTTAGCCCGACACCCCAAAGTTCTTCTAATTCGAAGCCCTTGAGGAACTTCTCAATTCCCCTTCTTGCAACAGTCCTCCTTCCCTTCTTGAGAATGCAGAATAAAACTCTTGTATTTTGTTATTTTTATTTCTTCTTTTTGTCCAGTCCTGGGGCTTGAACTCAGGGCCTGGGCACTGTCCCTGAGCTTCTTTTGCTCAAAGCTAGCACTCTACCACTTGAGCCACAGCACCACTTCCAGCTTTTTCTGTGTATGTGGTACCGAGGATTTGAACCCATGGCTTCATGCATGTGAGGCAAGCCCTCTACCACTAAGCAACCTTCCCAGCCCCAATATTTCTATTTTTTTTTATTGGTTGATTAATTAACAGCACTAGGATTTGAACTCAGGGCTTCAGGCTTGCAGGGCAGATGCTTTTTTATCATGGTGCTTACCTCTTACTGCTTTTTTTTTTTCTTCATTTTTGGAGATAATATCTTCATAAAAAGCCCAGTCTTGAGATCATCTTCCCTTCCTGAGTTCTGGGATTATAGGCATGAACCACTATGTTAGGCTCCCTCATGGACTGTTGTTTTGTTGTGACAGACACTGGGATTTGAACTCAGAGCCTCATGCTTGCTAGGCAGAGACTCTACCTTTTTTTTTGGGGGGGGGGTGCAGTCGTGGGGCCTGAACTCTGGGCCTGGGTGCTGTCCCTCAGTTCTTTTTTTTTTTTTTTTGTCGGTCATGGGGTTTGAACTCTGGGCCTGGGTGCTCTCCCTCAGCTCTTCAGCTCAAGGCGAGCGCTCTACCACTTGAGCTACAGCGCCACTTCCGGTTTCCTGGTGGTTTATTGGAGATAGGAGTCTCAAGGTCTCTCCTGCCCGGGCTGGCTTTGAACCGCAATCCTCAGATCTCAGCCTCCTGTGTAGCTAGGATTACAAGCCTGAGCCACCAGCGCCCGGCTGTCCCTCAGTTCTTCAATGCAAGGCTAGCGCCCTACCTCTTGAGCCACACCCCTTTTGTCTTTTAAAAGTTGTTTTGGATTGGTTCTCATATTTTCACCCAGGGCTGTCTTCAAACTGTGATTCTTCTGTCTATGGCCCTTGAAGCACACCTGGCCTCACAGATGCCAATGCTTGGATTGTTAGTTGGGATGAGGGTCTCACTAAGTTTTACCCAGGCTGACCTCCTACTTCAGTCCTCTCAATCTCTGCCTCCCAAGTGCTGTGATGACTAGCATGAGCCATAGCACTTGGGCTCCTTCATTGTTTTGTTTTGTTCTGCCCATCCCAGGGAACACTTGAACTATCCCTGAGCTGTGTGTCACAGCCCCACCCTCTGGCTTTTTGCTGGTTAACTGGAGATAGAGGTTCACAGACTTTCCTTCCCCAGGGCAGTTTTGAATTGCAATCCTCAGATTTTAGCTTCCTGAGTAGTTAGGATGACAAATGTGAGCCACCAGTGACTGCCTGGCATCTTTCATTGCTTTTTTTTTTTTGTCAGTCGTGGGGCCTGAACTCTGGGCCTGGGTGCTGTCCCTCAGCTCTTCAACTCAAGGCTAGTGCTCTACTACTTAAGCCACAGGGCCACTTCCAGCTTTTTCTGCTTATGTGGTACCGAGGAATTGAACCCAGGGCCTCATGCATGCAAGGCAAGCACTCTACCACTGAGCCACCTTCCCAGACCTCATTACTTTATTTTATTTTATTTTATTTTTGGGTCCTGTCGTGGGGTCTGAACTCTGGGCCTGGGAGCTGTCCCTCAGCTCTTTAGCTCAAGGCTAGTACTCTACCACTTGAGCCATAGCGCCACTTCCGGCTTTTTTCATTTTTCTTATGTGGTGCTGCGGAATCGAACCCAGGGCCTCAGGCATGCAAGGCAAGCGCTCTACCACTGAGCCACCTTCCCAGCCCCTTTATTTTTTGTCAGTCATAGGGCTTGAACTTGGGTCCTGGGCACTGTCTCTGAGATCCTTTGCTCAAGGCTAGCACTCTACCACTTGACTCACAGCTCCACTTCTGGTTTTCACTGTAGATAAGGGTCTTACAGAATTTCCTGTCCAGGCTGACTTTGAACCGAAATCCTCAGATCTCAGCCTCCTGAGTAGCTAGGATGACAGGTATGAGCCACCAGCACTCAGCTTATGATTATTTTTTTTAAGCTGGAGAAAATCTCCACCTTGGGGTTCCTGGGACCCTTCCCCAAACACCAGAAGACCACCAAGAGTCTTGGAATTTTTCCTTCCTTCCTGTTCCTTCTTTTTTCTTTCTTTCTTTCTTTCTGCCAGTCCTGGGACTTGAACTCAGGGCCTGGGCACTGTCCCTGAGCTTCTTTTGCTCAAGGCTAGCACTCTACCGCTTGAGCCACAGCACTACTTCTGGTTTTCTAGTGGTTTTTTTTTTTTTTTTGGGTCCGGTCATGGGGCCTGAACTCTGGGCCTGGGTGCTGTCCCTCAGCTCTTCAGCTCAAGGCTAGCACTCTACCACTAGAGCCACAGCGCCACTTCCGGCTTTTTTCTTTTTGCTCATGTGGTGCTGAGGAATCGAACCCAGGGCCTCATGCATGCAAGGCAAGCGCTCTACCACTGAGTCACCTTCCCAGCCCCTAGTGGTTTATTAGAGATAAGAATTTCACAGTCTTTCCTGCCCTGGCTGGCTTTGAACCATGACCCTCAGATCTCAGCCTCTTGAATAGCTAAGATTACAGGCGTGAGCCACCAGCACCCGGCTGGATTTCTTCTTAATGTAGATTTTTTCCTGGTGTTGGAGGCATGGCTCAATTGGTAGAACACTAGCCAATGAATAAAAGCATCAGGTACTAAATTAGAGTCCTGGTCTTGAACCAAAAAGATTTTCTTCCAAGCCTACCGGAATCCAATACCCTCTTGGAAGTCCTGGAGTCCTTCCTGTATCCCAGACACCCCTCATTCTTTCCAGGCTCAGACTTGAGCATTCCCACCCCATCTCTCTCCTCTTTGTCTCCACAGCGCCATGTCGAGCTGGCTGCAGCCCGGAACACGGCTTCTGTGAGCAGCCAGATGAATGCCAATGCCAGGAGGGCTGGACTGGGCCCCTCTGTACCATCCCTGTTGCCATCAGCAGCTGCCTCAGCCCCGGAGGCCCACCTTCTGCCATCTCTGAATGTCTTGGGCCTGGGCCTGGGCCCTGTGATGGAAACCCCTGTGCCAATGGGGGCAGTTGTAGCGTCAGTATTCCCATTCCTACCTCATTCTAACCAGAACTTCCCCGTGGGAGTTCCTTGGGTGCCCTTCTCTAGGCTTGGTGAGACACCAGCTTAGGAGGTGGTCTGAGCGTAGCAATCACAGAGGGCTTCCTGGAGGTGTCCAGCCTGAATGTGGAACCTCAGAGGAGGGTTAGGATGTAAGTGTGAGGGGTTGCAAGAAACCTGCATGGAGGAGGCAGGCTCAGAGCTGGGGCTGGGGTGTTGGATTTGGGGAGGGGGGAGGGGTTGGGGGAGGGCAGAGCAGACAGGGCAATCTGGAGTGGTCAGAATGGGCTGGGAGGTGGGTCTTCCAGAGCTGCTTCCCTGTGGAGTCTCATGTACAGAGGTCCAGGGTGTCTCACCCACCCCCATAGGGCTTGGGGCTGGGACTGAGAGCAGTCCAAAGCAATGGAGATGGAGGAAGGGGCAGGATTTTGCTTCAAAGAGCCTCGAGTTCAAAGCCATCTCGCCCCTACCCAGGAGACGCCAGGCTCCTTCGAATGTGCCTGCCCCCGGGGTTTCTACGGGCCTCGCTGCGAGGTGAGCGGGGTGACATGCGCGGACGGGCCCTGCTTCAACGGTGGCTTGTGCGTCGGGGGCGCAGACCCCGACTCTGCCTACGTGTGCCACTGCCCACCGGGTTTCCAGGGCTCCAACTGTGAGAAGAGAGTGGATCGGTGCAGCCTGCAGCCCTGCCAAAATGGTGAGGGGTTGGCGGGCTGGAGCCAGGGCTGGGGTACAGGGGTGCAGGGGCTCTGCACGGCCTAGGCAGTACAGGATGGGAATCCTGACTTTCCACTGATGTTTCTGTCCTGGGGTCTGGAGACACAGCCCTCGGCCTTTGGAATGACACAGTGATCTCTTACGTATTGACTGAGAATTTAGGGGGTGTCTGGCCTTAATCGAGGCACAGTGGTACAACAGGAAATGGAACAGGGAGTCCCTATTCTGTGTAGGGACAGATGTGGTTAGGCATTTAGGTCTGGTGTGTTTTGAGTCAGTGGTGGCTGGCAGGTGCCAGGGACCTTCACTAGGACAATAGGGAGAAAGGGGGTGAAATGGAGCCTCCGGAAGCTTCTGAGCAGGGGAGAATCATCTGATATAGGTGATAAAAGATCAAATTAATGAGATCATAAATGGAAGGCCTCTTGCCTCTCCCCGTTCCGCTTCAAGTCCTGAAAATTGAATTTAGAGTCTCTCCCTTGTAGGCAAGTACTCTACCAGCTAGACCACGCCCCAACCCAAGGCCACGCCCACGCAACGCAAGCCACGCCCACGACATACAAGTCACGCCCAATCCGAAGTCACATCCAGGCTATTTAAACCACGCCCCAGTCCTAGGCCACACCCATACCACACTAGCCACGCCCTAGCTCTTCTAAACCACGCCCCCAGCTGGTACATCTGGTAGAGAATTCTCCAAAGCGGAGTGCTCACTGGGCCAAGTGGTTCTAGGAACACCGCTGATGCTCAGGCCATCGCTGGGCCCTGTATGCTGGGTTACCACAAGCTGTCTGAGTGCCATCTCCAAGAGCTCATTCCCTGCCCATCGGAAGCGCGGGAATTGTTTTGGGGTGTGAGGGAGGAGCGCAGGGGGCTGCTCCTGCAACAATACACCAGGGCTGGGATGGAGGGCTTCCGGGAGGAAAGCGCATGCGATCCGGGTGTTGGAAAGGTGAGCCAGGTGAGGGAAGAGGTGGAAAAGCACGGGCTAAGGGAAAGTCAAGCCGAATGAGGCACCGGCGAAGGTCAAGGTTCACGCTTCTTCTACCTCTGACACTCCCCGCCCCCTTTCTCCACAGGTGGCCTCTGCTTGGACCTGGGCCACGCTCTGCGCTGCCGCTGCCGCGCGGGCTTCGCGGGTCCGCGCTGCGAGCACGACCTGGCCGACTGCGCGAGCCGCGCCTGCGCCAACGGCGGCACGTGCGTGGAGGGTGGCGGCGGCGCGCGCCGCTGCTCGTGCGCGCTGGGCTTCGGCGGTCGCGACTGCCGGGAGCGCGCAGACCCCTGCGCCGCGCGCCCCTGCGCTCACGGCGGCCGCTGCTACGCGCACTTCTCCGGCCTGGTCTGCGCCTGCGCGCCCGGCTACATGGGCACACGCTGCGAGTTCCCAGTGCGCCCCGACGGCGCGGACCAGGGCGCAGGCGCAGTACCCGCGATCCCGCCGGGCCCGCGGCGGGCGGATCCGCAACGCTTCCTCCTGCCACCCGCTCTAGGGCTGCTGGTGGCCGCGGGCCTGGGCGGCGCCGCACTCTTCGTGGTCCAAGTGAGGCGTCGAGGTTCTGGCCGGGATGCCGGGTCGCGATTGCTGGCGGGTACCCCGGAACCGGCAGGCCACATGCTCCCCGATGCACTCAACAACCGGAGGACGCAGGAAGGGCCCGGGGATGGTCCGAGGTGAGAGGCGCCCATCTGTGCCTCTTTGCTACCGGCTGTGTGCACCGACTCTTATAAACGCCATTGACCCGATTTGTGTGTGTGTGTGTGTGTGTGTGTGTGTGTGTGTGCTGAGGCTCGAAGTTAAGGCCTCGCGCTCTCATTTGGCTTTTGTGCTCAAAGCTGGTGCTCTACCACTTGAGTCGCGCCTCCACTTCCAGCCTTTTGGTGGTTCGTTGATGATAGTCTTATGGACATGTCTGCCCAGGCTGGATTCGAACCGCGATCCTCAGCTTCCCAAGTAGCTAGGATGACAGGCCTAAGCCACCTGTGCTTGGCTGCTTTTTCATTTTTATTTTTCCATCTCTGATCTACCATTTGTGCCCACGCCCTTAGTTCTAGCCCTCTGCTGGTAAGGTCTTTCTAGAATTACCCTTGCCTGCTTGTGAGTTCTGTTCCGTGGCCGGGGGAGAATCTTGAGGGTCTGGATCTTCTTGCTTTCTTCCCACAGTTCGTCTATAGATTGGAATCGCCCCGAAGATGGAGACTCTCAGTCGATTTACGTCATATCTGCTCCTTGTGTCTATGCTCGGGAGGTAGCAGCGCCCCTCATCCCCACCCTGTACACTTTGGGGTCTCTGGGCAGAGACAGCCTCTTGCTTTTTCTTCAGCCTGCCTTGATTTTTACATAGGAAACTCAGAGGATAAACTCTGCGATCAGAACTTGCTAATTTTAATTCTGTTCTGCATTGCACTGGCTGCAATTTGGGCTCCTTGCCATCTTGTTTTTGGGATATCCAGAGATTCAAGAAGTCATCCCAAGGACTCTTCCCTCAGCCAAGAGCTGCTTCTGGGTCAAGGAGGGGAAACTGAGGGACGGCATCTCCTAATGGTTCTTTTGTTTTTGCATTTCCAGGCCTGATCTGTCTCTCTTCATAGGCGTTGGCAGACAGAACTGGATGTTTTTGTTCCTTGGTGGGACCCAGTCTCTCCCCCAAACACTTTGGAGGGCTCCCTGGAAGGGGTGGAAATTGTACATATGTTATTTATACCCTATTTTTCTCTCTATCACTCCAGAGACATCTTATAAAGGCTGTTATTTTGATCAAATACAACAGGCTGTTTTGTATTTAGTGTTGGACTTCTAACCCCTCTTTTTCTCCCACCACCCTAGGCTATCAGTCTTTGGTAGTGGGCCTGTCTTCCCACCTTCCACAATCTGGAAAGGACCCAGGGTCATCTGGATCACTGCTCTATTTTTAATCCAGTCAAGGCGCATGCGCACAGTAAGATTACACTTGGTCACCGCTGGCTGTCACCACTGGCTGGCTGGGACTGGTGTTGGGACTGGTCCCAGGTTGGCCTCCAACTTTTTTTTTTTTTTTTTTTTGTCAATCATGGGCTTGAACTCTGGGCCTGAGTGCTGTCCCTCAGATCTTCAGCTCAAGGCTAGTATGATATCACTTGAGCCACTGTGCCACTTCTGGTTTTCTGGTAGTTTATTGGAGATAAAAGTCTCACATACTTTCCTGACTGCGATCCTCAAATCTCAGCCTGCTGAGTAGCTAGGATTACACTGACACCTGGCTTTTTCTCTTTCTTTCTTTTCTTTTCTTTTTTTTCTTTTTCTTTTTTTTTTCTTCTTTTTTCTTTTTGACCAATCCTGGGGCTTGAATCCTGGGCACTATTTCTGAACTTCTTTTGCTCAAGGCTAGCACTCTACCACTTGAGCCACAGCACCATTTCTAGCCTTTTCTGCTTCTGCGGTACTGAGAAATTGAACCCAGGGCTTCAGGCATGCTAGGCAAGCAGTCTACCATTAAGTCACATTCCCAGCCCTGGCTTCCAACTCTTGATGCACCAAGTCTGGAAAACGGTGGCATTTCATATAACAAATTTTCGTGGCTTAAAAAGCCTAGATTTCTCAGTGCAGGTGAAGCTCAGTACCAAAGCCGCTTGTGACTCTGGGCCCAGAAGCAAAATAGAACAACAAATGCCCACAGAACTGAACAAACCACTACCATCAACCAACCAACATCCCCTTCTCCCATGTTTCTGGTGCTGGCTTACCTTTGGTCTCCAAGGCTGAGGCTGACAGAGCACCATCCCTTCTGATCTTTCTTCCGCCACGCCGCCCCCCCCCCCCCCCCCCCCAGGACAAGGTCTTCCACATGATCACAGATTTCATCTTCTAGTTCACCCAACCGAGGCGCATGTGTACTTCAGGGCCACACTTGACAGCCAGCTGAACCCCGTGAATGTCCACAGTAGCCAATGGGAGCCCTGGGCTCTGAGTCCCTTAGTGATGGGTGGGTGGGGCCATTCTGGCAGATCTTGGAGCCTCCGCCCAAGTGGAACCCCGGTGTAACAGTGCCCCCACCCCGTGGTCGCCCCCCGTTTAGAACCCTGGGGCGGGAGATGCTCTTCTGGCCCCAGGAAGCTGGGGACAGCCGGACTTCCATCCCCGGGTTGCCATGAACCAGCAGGCGCCAACCCCAGGCCCGACCACACGCAGGCCCTCGGCCCCAGGCCGGGCTGCCACCCTGGTCCGGACCCCGACGCCGACCCATCCTTCCACCCCGGTCAGGACCTCGGTTCCCATCCGAACCTCCACCCCGGTCGGGACCTCCACTCTGGTCCGGACTGCGATCCCGGTCAGGACCCCGGCTCCAGTCCCGCTCCCGATCCCAGTCCGGACCCCGGCTCCAGCCCAGACTTCCATCTCGGGCGAGACCGACCAACCGAGCCAAACCGACCTCCCGGGCCAGACTGTGGTTCCAGTGACCCCCGCCTGGACTCCGACCCCAGCCCTGAGGCGGCCCCCGATCCCGGTCCGGACCCCGGCGCCGGTCCGGCCCCCGGCCCCGGGGCGGCTCCCGGCTCCGGTCCGGGCTCCGATCCCTGTCAGGCCGCGGGCTCCAGTCCGGGTTCCGACCCCGATCAGGACCCCGGCTCCAGTTCGGACCCAGATTCCAGTCCAGACTCCCGCCGCGGCCCAGACCCAGATCCCGGTCTCGCTCGACGCCAAGGACCGGGTAGACGCTGCTCCGGAGACCCCGGCCTGGACTCCGACCCCGGCCCAGGCCCCGGCGCCGGCCTGGGCCCCATTTCCCACCCGGACTCCGGCCGCGGCCCAGACCTCAGCTCCGGTCCAGTTCCCAACACCAGCTCTGGTGGCCCCGGCGCCGGCCTGGACCCCATTTCCCACCCGGACTCCGGCCCCGGCCCAGGTCCCAGCTCCCGTCCAGTTCCCAACGCCAGCTCCTCCGGCCCCGGGGGCGGAAGCCTCCCCGAGCCAGCTCCGGCTCCCGGGGGTCGCCTCGGGACCCGCCCCGGAGCCCCTCGAGCCCCCGGCTCCCGACGCCCCCGAGGGCCCGAAGCCGGTGCCGCCACCCCCGGTCGCCAGGGCGGCGGGGACCCTGCAGGGCCCGCTTCCCGCGCTTTCCCCCTCGGCCTCCAAGGAGCTGGAGCCCTCCCTGGGCTCGTCCTCAGTCGGCACCCTGTCGTCCACCCTGCTGCCCGAGACCCCCGTTCCCGGGCTGCTCTTCCCGCCGGCCCCGTCGTCCTCCTTTGTCTCCACCAACACCTTCGCCCCCGCCAACAGGGACATACAATTGCACAAGAGGATCCTGATCCGGGTGAACTACTGGTGAGGGGCTCCCCGCACCCCTTCCTGGGGAGAGGCCTTGGGGAGAAGGCGGGTGCTGCTCTAGGGCTGGAAGTCAGGCAGGACCTGCTTGTGACTTTGCAAACCCGGCAGCTGCTCCTATCCCGTCTCTTTGGGGCTGGAGAGCTGGTTTCAGATCCCACTTTGGGGCTCTCAGCTTCATTCTCTTGCATTCATTCATATTTCTGGAGCTGAGCTTCATTCACTGTGCTCTCTGGCTCTGATTTTTTTTTGGGGGGGGGCATTGCTCGTGGGGCTTGAACTCAGGGCCTAGGCGCTGTCCCTGAGCTCTTTTGCTCAAGGCTAGCACTCTACCACTTTGAGCCAGAGCGCCACTTCCGGTTTTTGCATGGTTGAATGGGAGGTAAGAGTCTCCTGGGGACTTTTCTTCCTCAGGCTGGCTTTGAATGGAGCTAACTTGACCAGTGTGAGCTACTCCCCCCCCTCCCCCCACCTCCCACCCCCGCTGGCTCATTCAGTACTTAGCTCTGAGCCTCTTTTTGTGGGAGAACACAGGGCTTGACCCTTGCTAGGCTGGCACTCTACCACGTGAGCCACACCTCCACATCTGGCTTTTTGCTAGCTCATTGGAGATAAGAACTTCCAATATGTGTCTACCCCAGCTGGTTTCCAACCTGGATTGTCAGATCTCAGCCTCCTTATTAGCTAGGATTATAGCTATCAGGTGGTCAGCCATCCAAGAGGGCTGCCGAGGACAAAAAGGATCTGAGGAAGTCACAGGTTTAGCTGCTGTGGTCAGGAGGGCCTCCCTGAAGAGGAAACAGAAACAGAAACCTCCTGGGGGGAGGAGCATTCTGCATAGCATGTCCAGTACAAAGGCCCTGGGGCAGGATCCTCCAGCCGTGTGGGGAGGCCAGCTAGTTGAAGCATAGGAGGATGACACTAGGGTCGGTTCTGAGCAGGGGAGGAAGGTAGGATGACTGTGGGTCTTCACAGAGCCCCTCTGGGCTTGGGAAGATACTGATGTGGTCTCTTCTCTTCTCTGTCTCCCTTCCCCTGTCCTTGGCCTCTAGCGGCCTCTGAAGTTACGGCCTTCGGGTGAGTAGTTGTGACTTTGGATATGGGAGAAGCCCAGAGCCATCCCCACAGGGAGGGATCCCTGTTTCCCCGACTCTCCCCCTCTCATGACCTTACTAACCCCATCTCCATCCTCAGTATATTATACTGAAAAAGAGCTTGGAGCAGCAATTTCCAAATCTTCTGGACTTTGTAAGTGTGCTGGTTGGTCTGGGATGTGGAGGGGGGTCAGGGCCCCCCCCATCCCCACTCCCTCCCCCAACCAGGGCTGGGAGGGGGAGTGCTCAGCTTCCACCCTACTCCCCTCTTCTCCTCCTACCAGGAGGATGAAATCGCTGCAGAGGCTACTGGGGAGTTTGAAGTATTTGTGGATGGAAGATTGGTCCATTCCAAGAAGGTGATTCTGAGCAAATGGACACAGAGAGAGGAGGAAAGCTGGAGCTGGGGTCCTGAGGGTTGAGGGAAAGAAGGGGTTGACAATCATGTTTGGGGGGGGGGGTTCTTCTCCATGCTCAGAAAGGCGATGGCTTTGTGGACGAATCTGGGATGAAGAAAATTGTACAAACTATTAGTGAAGAGCTCAAGAAAAGGTAGCAGGCAATGGTGGGGCTGGAGGTGAGTGAGGGGCTGGGACTGTGAAAGGTTCCCCCACCAGAGGAGGGAAGAGGCTGGGCTGGGGCTGGACAGCTCCGCTAGCTCAGTTTCCTCACCTGTAAATTAGACATGTTGGGATGATTCCAGGAGAAAGCCCCCTATCAGGTAAACAGCATAATCAAGTCACACTCCATGGCTCACACCTGGACTCCTAGCTACTCAGGAGGCTGAGATCTGAGGATCAGAGATCCTGGGCAGGAAAAACTCTGTGAGACTCCAGTTAACCACCAAAAAGCTGGAAGTGGAGCTGTGGCTTCATGGGACTCTGACTTTTAAATTTAGCTTCTGCCTGTTTTTCTCCTGGAGTTGGTTTATTTTCAAACAAGCTGTGTTTCTTGAAGGTGTAAATCCAGAAAAGGGTCCTCGTTGGTTGGAGCTAAGTCACACAGCCATCTCCAAGCCAATGATTGTGGTCCAGAGGAATTTAACACTTGGATTGGTTAGATTTGAACCACACACCCATTCTTGGAAAGGGAGGTGGAGTTGGGCTTTCTGACCCATGATGCAATGGGGCACTGGATGAGTAAGAACAAGTGAACTCTTAAGTTCAGAATAGTTTATGATAAATTAAAAATATAAGGCCTGGAGCTAGGTACTGGTGGCTCACGCCTGTAATCCTAGCTACTCAGGAGGCTGAGATCTGAGGATCGTGGTTCAAAGCCAGCCTGGGCAGAAAAGTCCGTGAGACTTTTATCTCCAATAAACCACTAGAAAACCGGAAGTGGCGCTGTGGCTCAACAGGTAGAGTGCTCGCCTTTAGCTGAAGAGCACAGGGACAGTGCCCAGGCCCAGCGTTCAAGCCCCACGACTCACAAAAAAAAAAAAAAAAAAAAAGGCCTGGGCTGGCAATGTGGCTTGCTGGTAGAATGCTTGCCTAGCATGCATGAAGCCCTGGGTTCGATTCCTAAGTACCACATAAGCAGAAAAAGGCAGAAGTGGCACTGTGGCTCAAATGGTAGGGTGCCAGCCTTGAGCAAAAGAGCTCAGGGACAGTACCAAGGTTCCAAGTTAAGCCCCAGGACTGACAAAAAAAAAAAAAAAGAAAGAAAGAAAAAGAAAACAATTTTTGTAACTGCCCAGGAAGTAGAATTGCTTTCCCAGCTTTTGATTTTCATTGCATACATATATCTTTGATGCAGGGTATATTTGTTCTTGTGCCCATCCTGGGGCTCAAATTCAAGGTCTGGGTACTGTCCTTGAACTGTGGTTGCCTGGTGCATATTGAAAACTAGCAAGAATAGAATGGGCACTGTAATCTATAGAATGCATAGGATCACATATATGTACCTTATGTAGGAATCTATCTATACATATATATATATATATATATATATAATTTATTTTTCTCTCCTTTCCCCATCTCAGGATCCTCCTCAGCAAGATGATGAGAAGGGCTGAAATGTTGCCAGGTCCTTTTCTGATGGTGGCTGGGGTCAGGGTTGGGTGGGGAGGGGCAAAGAGGGAAATACAGAGAGTCTGCCTCCCCGTGTCCGGTCTGCCTGTGTTTGCATAAGCCACTCTTGCTTCTGAGCAAGTCCAAGTCTCCTGCTGTTGTACTCCCCAATCTCTGGATCAGAGAGGAGTGTTGGAAAGTGAGCGAGGGATGCCAGTGGCTGGCAACTTATATGTCCCAAGACTCAGGTGCTGCTGTGTTGGCATTAGTGGGAGGAAATTGAGGCTGGATGGACCTGGGAAAATGAAGATGGGAGCCAGAAGTCAGGAATCCAGCGATATGAATATATATTCATGAACAGCTTGATTAAAAGTACAGAAGAAAGCTTGGGGCACTGGTGACTCAGGCCTGTAATCCTAGCTACTCAGGAGGCTGAGATCTAAGGATTGTGGTAGACTAGGCAGGAAAGTGTCCAGCAAAAAGACAGCTGTGGCTCAAGTGATTGAATACCAGCTTTGAGCAAAAAAGCTAAGGGACAATGCCCAGGTCCTAAGTTCAAGCCCCAGTGTTGGCACCCAAGTATGTGTGTGCATGTGTGCATGCACACACACAGGGTCATAAAGATTAGGATAGGAAAAAACTATTGCTCTTTGTGTATTATATATCAAAGAAAAAGTACAGATTAACAACAGAAGTCAATAAGTTTAATAGAGCACCAAAATATAA